CTATAAGAGTCTCTTTGATTTAGGTAATTTTAAAATAATTTCGAATCTTAAGGAGTTTCGAAAAAACAGATTTTAACGTAAAATCAGGGAACAAAAAGATTTTGTTTTGAAGAAATATTTTCGAAAAAATAATTTTTGTTGGAGAGAAAAAATTGATTTTTGTACTTATAATTGGAATGTTCTCTCTATCCTACAATGAATCCTAAAGTCTAACCACTTAGGGTCTTCGATAAAAGTCTAACCACTAGGGTCTTCGAATGTCTTCATAATCCTTGAATTTGTAGGACTTGCCTTGTTCATTTATTACTTTCCATATGTATTCTGCATAAGATATTATTAGCACAAATAATATAATTTATATAATTTATCTTGTTTTAATCATCAAAATCTCGAGATTAGTATTTGACCCTTGAGCCAACAGTTTGGTAATCCAAGAACTTCTCCATTAGAGAGTTGCTTATATACTTGGTATTAAAATCTATATGGATGGATTCGATAGGCTGCTAAGATTATCTAAATCCACATATGTTAATAAAGTGTTAAAATAGTTTAGCATGGGGGAATCCAAAAGAGGATACCTACCTATATATCAATCTGATCTGGATGAAAGTCATTGGACTGCTGTTAAAACTATCCTTAAGTATTTAAAAATAAGTAAGGATAATTTTAAATTATGGAGAAACTAATGAACTAAGAGTTCATGGATACATTGATGCCATAGGAAAAACACATGGGTAATTGGCTTTAGTGTAAGTGGGAGATTGTTAGTTATATGCCCTATAGCCAATTTGATTGGTTATATTTTGGATATAATATTTCATGTAATAACTATTTTATTATTTATAGAAGGCATTTATTTATTTTTATATTCTATTGTTTGAATCTTGATAAAAGATAAAGTCCATGAGACAATACTGCTTTGCGAAATAATTATAATGTGGTTATAATTATGAGTTTTATATTTACATTAAAGCAATGTCTCTAAATATTCCTAGTCAGCGTTCTCATTATTAGATAATGATTAAAGCTGTTGAGATTGGTACATATTATGTTTTTTCCTTATAGAAGCATCGGTTCTAATTAGCTGAGATTATATGTGATATCTAGAACTAATATGTAGATGCTTATTATTTAAATAAGTCCATTGAATTGACCTGCATGAGAATTCCATATGGAGAGTTACCTGTGTATATGGAATACTCAAGTGATGTTTGTATAAGTGATCCTTTGACTTGAAATTACTAAGCTATCTTATATGGGGATGATTATGTTTTTATTCTTTGTTCACCTTATTCATTCATGAATAATAAGCAATGATTAATTAGACATAATAGGAACTGTATAAAGATACTTGTATAATTAAGAGAAACTGTATAAAGATACTTGTATAATTAAGAGAGGATTCATCATCCTAGGTAAATTAGGGAAAATGTTCTAATTGTTCTCTACTAGTATTGATTAAGAAATCCTTGCACAAGATAGAATGAAGTTAGTAAATTAGATTTTGAATTTCATTCAAATGATTAATGGCGAAGATTAAGAGAACTAACATGATTTCGTAAAGCAGACACACTTCATGCCTGATTACTAAATCAGAACATTAATGCTGAAGGAATATTAATTACACTGATAAATCATGCACTGAAAGGTTAAGTCAAACCATTTTGACTTTCTAAATATTTGGGTAGTCTTGACATGTTGCTAAACAATGTATTTGACCTTCAAATATTAATTAAATAATTTAATTTATATTTGTTGCCAACATATTTGAAGGTCACACACATAAGAATGGATATGAGAAAGTGAAAACGAGAAATTAAATCAAGTATGACTTAATTACAAATTAGTTTTGGGACATTAAGGGCAAAATTCATTAAGGGCAAATTGTACTTTATATTTAATTAACAATTTTTAACTAAATTATCAAGTAATTGAGCTTAATTGTATTTGTCTAAAATATTAAGATAAATTTTAGATTATAAACCTAATATTTTAATTATGATTTATTTATTTAAAAGTTTTAATCATAAATAAAAATTGATAAATTGAAAATCCTATTAACTATATGTATTATAATTTTATTTATTTTAAATTGTTTAAATAAATAAATAGGCACATATATATTTTAGTTATAATTTATTTATTTAAAAGTTTAAATAAATAATTATAATTTATTTATTGACCTAAGATTTTCATATATAAGGTTTAAGAGATAGTTTAAAGACGATAATTGTTACTAATAGCCACAAAACTAAACATAGAGCATAGGATAGCTAGCATCATCATACACTCTAATATCTCAACTCCTCTAAAATAGTTTTAGAGTTTTTAGATTGTCCATTCGTGTTGATACTACCAGAGGCCGGACACTTAGACAGCTTATGGTTTGCAACAACCTAACCGCGTATATCAAAGTTTCAAAGAATCTGCAAAAGAGGTATTCTTCTGAATAATTTTTATTGCTTTAATCGTATAAACAGATTCCTGTTAGTATAATTATTTCGTTATAATTATATTATTCCGCTGCGTATTATTGATATTGAAACCCAATATCTAGATGGCTGATTGGTAGTGAGAGAAGTGTTAGAATATGGAATGGGAATTGACTTCCTAGAAAACTGAAGTTTTGTGTTCATTTAGTTCCGGTTGTGCTTAAAGAAGATGCTAAAGCAGATGAGACTTTGTACAAACAGATTGTGGGAAGTCTGATGTATCTTACTGCCACACGACCTGATTTAATGTTTGTGGTGAGTTTAATTAGCCGTTTCATGGCTTGTCAAACGCAATTACACATTGCAGCAGTAAAAAAGGTTTTGCAGTACTTGAAAGGCACAACTGGTTATGGGGTTTTCTATAAAAGAGGCGGAGATGGTAAATTAATTGGATTCACTGACAGTGATTATGTTGGTGACATGGAGGACAGCAAAAGCACTTCAGGTTACGTGTTTATGATGAATGGAAGAGTAGTAGCCTGGTCATCTAAAAAACAACCCATAGTCACTTTGTCGACAACAGAAGCAGTGTTCGTAGTTGCAGCTGCGTGCGCATGTCAAGCCATTTGGATGAGACAAATACTCAGTGAGATTGGGCATTCACAAAAGGAAGGAACGAAAATTATGTGTGATAATACTTCAACCATAAAACTGTCAAAGAATCCGGTTCTACATAGGTGTTCAAAGCATATCAGGGTAAGGTTTCATTTCCTCAGAGATCTTACCAAAGAAGGAACAGTAAACTTATTGTTTTGTGGCACTCACGATCAGCTTGCTGATCTATTTACAAAGCCTCTCAAGTTGGAAGCCTTCCAGAAATTACGAAGGAAGCTTGGCGTCTGTGATTTTTCAGATTTAAGAAGCCTTCCAGAAATTACGAAGGAAGCTTGGCGTCTGTGATTTTTCAGATTTAAACTAATTCTTTTTAGCCAAGCATAAGTTTAAGGGAGGGTATGTTAGGAGTTGATTAGTTTTTGGATTCTGTTGAATAAAGACCTATTCTTTAGGGAAGTGCTATTCCTTAGGAGAGTCCTAGTCTTATGGATTTATCTGTTTTTGCTGTTTACGTTTTGTTTTGACTTTATTGTAAGGCCATATATAGCCAAGTCTGAACCGTTTAATTGGGAAAATAAGAATTCCAGTTGTTTAAAGTTCTTTGTTCAAGTTTCTCTTAAGCTTTAACAGTTTTTGCATATTTTTTACTTGAGCAAATTGAAGTGTTGTTTATGGTGGCATGGTCTATTTGGAGAGGAAGAAATGTTTTGCTACATCAAGGGAAGAGAATGTCAAGATCCCAGATAGCGGCACAATCTCTTTCACTATGGACAAATTATTTGGAACACCAGCAACATTGGCAGAGCCACTTGGACACTAATGACCCCACTCAAATTTTTTTTCTTTGATAAATATAGAGTTATTAATAATTTTGATCCTATCATTAAATATAGAGGTATTTCTGATATTTTGTTTTATAAAATATCATAAATATATGATAAAAATAGTAGAAAAACATCTATTTTACTATCCGAAACTGGAATGGAGATCTAATAAGGAAGTGTGGGTATTGTTCATCATTCAGTTGAAGCAAAAAAGCAGAAGCATTCTTGATATCTAATTAAAATTTGTTCATTTTTCCTCAAGTTCGTTTATTTCCTTTTGCCTTTATAAAATCACATAAAACATTTGTTTCAGAAGAAATCATTTGAATAGAGTATTGAAAATCTCATCAACCCCCTAACCACCATACAAATATGGCCTAATGCATTCAAAATCTCATCTCGATTCAATTTGAAAAATCTAGATTCAACCCGACCAATTTGTGCTATTATTATTGTTTTTGGGTTAGACTAATGAAATCTTCAAGAAATTTCAAATTCCAACAATTGGATTCCTCAATTTTAGAGCTTGCTCTATAGCTATGGAGTTTGCTGTTTGGAAGATCCACACAGTAGATATCATAACTAGATAAAATCTGTTTGCTTTCCAATTATCCAAAGACATGGCTCTAACTGTTTTGAATTCAAATCTCAGGATCATGGTCATTATGGTCCTCTAGGTGGACTTGGTGTTGGCATATTTACCATGAATTGATCTTAAGTATTTTGCATTCGAGGAGTTTGTGGAATTGGAAGGTGAGATAACTGGAGTGTGTACCTATCTGAATCTTTAATATTTTTGACTTTTTAATTTTTGTTTTTTTTTTTTTTCGTTTTGTTTTGTTATTAAAATATATTGAATATGTTTTAATGCATATAAGAGGAAAGGAAGAAGATGATAATGTGGCGGGTAATCATGGGTATTTTAGTCTTTTCGTGTAAAATTAACGAAAAAAAATGTTATTTTTTGGATAAAAGAACTATATAATCAAACGGAAGCAAATCTAGGGATGTCAAAATAATTTTAACAAACAATAGAAAGAGTTGCTTAATTTGGTCAAAACTGGAGGGCTAAATAATTATTTTCCCTTTTATTTTTAATTTTCTTAATTTTAAGCAATGATATAAAGAACAACTTTGTCTCTTTACAGCCCGCTTACTGTAAAATATCCATGGCGGCTGTCAGTTCTTTCGCTCTTCTCCGGTACTCTCTTTTCCCTCTCTCTGTTTACGTTGTTGGTTTGAACTGCAAATTTAAGGCAATGTTTGGTTGTTAATTTTGTTCTGTAAGCAGGAATTGTGCAATTAGTACAAGAGCATTCTCTAATGTGAAAACCTCCTCAAGAGCCACCATCTCCTTTTTGAACAACAAATTCCTTCTGCCTATTCAGTCTCGAAGGTATTATGTTTTGTTTTACATTTTTTTTTTAAAATTTTATCTTTATCCTTCTAGATTTCTGTACTGTGGAGTGCAAATAATCTAACCCATTTCAAGTAGAATATAGAATTATAGTACTTAAGTTCATTTCCTAGTAATTAATACTAATCTTTCAATTTTGTTCCTTATTGTTGATTTAGAATGTTAGGTTTCTACCATTAATCAAAGGCTTTTGTGTTGATGGATTTTGGGATTTTAGGAAACCACTCAATGTGGTAGATGTGCCAATTTCTAATATTTGGATTACCACATTCCCCATCGCTGAATTTGTTTCTTATTGACATTATACTGATGGAACAATCCATATTGAGGACATGATTGAGTATTAAAGAATTTTTTTGAGAGTACTAGAAGTATTTTCTTATACTTTTGGTCCAAAAGCTAAAAGATCCATCAATATAAGGGCTTCTTTTTACAAAATCTGCAAAGAAAAATTGTAGATGCACAAACCTGACAGTTTCTTTCTTTTTCCCCCTCTCCTGATGCATGTGTTAGAGGATGTGAATCTCGTTTTCATCTATTTATAATTCAACTACCTGTTTCCTTTTTTTTTTTTTTTTTTTTTTTTTTTGATTTGTCTGAATTTTTTTTTTTTTTTTTTTTTTTTTTCTGATTTGTCTGGAAACTTTGGAGTATTGTTTGAAAATGAACCAAGCTTTTATTATAGGAGTAAGATACTCAAGGATGTTATTGTTCTGCATTTTTTCCATATAATTTGAACTATTTGGTATTGGAGCATTGTCTGGCGCAGATTTATTTAAACATGATTTGAGGGTTTTACTTACATGAATTTGTATTTTTGGTATAATTTACAGGACTTGAGAGGAGAATATCTTATCTTCCAATTTATGTTTAGCTACTTTTCTTATGTAATAAGTCAAATTATGCTTTATAATAATTGTGGTATGCAACATACTAAAGAAAATTTGTGCAGATGACTACTTTGACCATTTCTAGTCCCTTCTCTACTAGTAATTTACATCATATCATGCATCTGATTACTTAGATCGAGTTCTAAAACTTTTTGGGAAAGATGCAAAGAAACTACCTTTGTAATGCATGGAACAAAAATTCTTTTTACCCTCTATTCAGTTGGGGAAAAAAAAAAGCATATTAAAAGTAGCTCATAAAGTCCAGTTCTGCTGAAATTGACACCAAATTTATATTATGAAAAGGAGCTCACTAAAGGAAATAATTATGTAGATTTACAGCCTTAAAATTACAGTTTCTTATTTTTGGTAATTAACCTTCATTTATTAGTGCCTGGAATATTGCCCCAACAACGTGTAAGGCATTCTCTTTCTTTGTTGATGCTATATAGTGTTGGTGCCTCACCCTTTGTAACTAACAGCACCAGTTATCACCTCTTCATTACTTGATTCACTGCATCATATCTTTTTCCATGCTGATGGTCCCAGCATTGAGCCTTCTAGAATATACCTTGAAAGGTTTTGGGCCAGGCTTCTTCCTGTCAAAGACAGTCTTTGATTCCAAAGCATGTAACAAATTATGGTTTAAGCTTACACTTGCGTGGTCCCAGAAATATATTTCTTGGTCAGAAGTAACTTGATTGTTACTTGAATGTTTCCTGATGTCTTTATTACTTATGATATTATTTAGATCTCTGTTTTGCACGACTGCTATTAACGATGAAGAAGCATCTGCCAGAGCAGCAGCAGCCAGTGCTGAGAGTGGAGCTCCAACCATGTATCATCACTAGTGACACAATAACCCTGGTTTGATCTCATGTTTTAAGCCATTACAAACTGTTTGAACATTTATGTTTAACTTTTGGACTTTGACGTATCAGGATATAGCAGAAAATATAAGTTAAGTGGCCTCCTAAGATGCAAGATCTTAAAAATTCTTGAACATGAGAAACTCTCAAGTTTTCCTTGAGATTCTTCTTAATACAAGCTTATAATGGCTTCATAAGGTTACTAAATTTGCAAATAATTAACACATGAACATTTTATTGGACCCAAGCATCTGAAATCTTTGATTTCATTGATTCGAAAGGCTTGCTCTGCAGAAGTAAAGAATAATTACCTTATGATAATATTAAACATGGGATTTAAGTGTTAAAAAAACTTAAAGTGAGAGAGATAGACTGAGTATCAACGGTCAAGAAGAAACAAATAATATTTGAAGAGGTACATCAGGGATCTCATTTTATTTTTAATGCAAAGAAAGCTTCAAATAAAAATAAAAATATTAGCAAAGGTTAGGTATTTTTCTCTTTCAGGAATATGTGATAATGTGTTTCTTTATCTCAAAATCTCCATAAGCATATGAATTGGAATTTTTGCAATGTTAGATTGCCTTTTGGAGTGGATTATGACCTGTCTTTGTGTTATTGATTACTTTCCACTTTTCCTTCTCTGAAAATTTAATTTTGCTCTTTTTTCACTTTTCTTCTCCTCGTCTCTCTCTATTGCTCTCTTTCCAATTACAAACTTGTTATAGTACCATATTGATATAGTTTATGTAGAGGATGAGCTGAAAGGCACATCTTTTGCATGGTATTGTTAGTCGTGCAAGGTGGGTTTGGATAGGGTGAAAATGATTTGGAATAGAAACATGGGTACATTACCTGCTTAACCCATGTGCATTTACCCACCCATTTAGCCATATATCCATTATGCCAAATATATAAAATATCTATGCAAAATTAGAATTTGCAAATTAGGTGTAAAAGTTGTTCACGAGTTCAGATGTTTCTGGTAAAATTTATAAAAGTAGGCAAATAAATAAAATTAAAATTCAATACCATATTGACTGATGATTATTTTTATGAGATTATTGTGCAGTATTCATGTGCATTAAGATTCCCATCTCTAACTGTATTTTCCTTCCAGTTTTGATAAGATCATAACAAAGGAAATTCCTTCATCCATTGTATATGAGGATGACAAGGTCCTTGCTTTTCGAGACATCAATCCTCAGGCTCCTGTTCACGTTTTAGTTATTCCAAAGATCAGGGATGGATTGACACAGCTTTCAAAGGTTAGTTTGCTGATATTTGTTTCATTATGTGCACATATTTGTAATTTCTTACCTTTAGATGGATACAATTCATGTTTCTTTTGTGAAATTTGCTGGATTAGTTGTGGAACTATAAGTTCTTGTATGACTCAGTCCCCTTTAGGATCAGAATTTTATTTTTTTTGGCAACTCACTGACATCTTCTCTTTGGACGAGAGCAAACTTCATATTTGAATTGTGACTTCAGATCAGAATTTTATTTATTCATTGGCATCTTATATTTGGACAAGCCCAAACATCATATTGAGTTGTGACTTAGGATCAGATTTTTTTTTTTTTTTTTTTTTTATTTTTTTTTTTTTTTTTTTTTAGGCTACTCATTGATATTCTTATTTTGAAAAGTTTTTTTTTTTTTTTTTTTTTTAGGCTACTCATTGATATCTTATTTTTGAAGAAGCCCAAACTTCAGATTTGAATTGTAATAGCTAATTATAAACAAAACCCCTTTATTTCTATCAAAAATCAGCATAATTGATAATATGGAACTTTCATGGTGAGGAAACATTGCATTCCACTTGTCAATTAGCTTACAGCCTATATGGATTGGTATTCCTTGCTAAAATGTTCATGTGAAGTGCCCCACATTTGTAGATCTCATTTGATTTATGGCTAGGTTGAGCGACCTGCGGAATCGTCTTAGGTCCAATTCCTTTTAGTAGGTAAATTAAGGCCTCAAATGGGGAAAGAATCATCATATGAAAATTGAAAATTTTCACATAGACGATATGGGCAGTTCATACCATCCATACATAGTGTTTGCTAAAGCTTCGATGGAACCAAATTTCAAGTATTTCTGTCGTATGGTTTAGTTTTAAAGAAGGAAGAAGTTTCAGGATAAGGAGTTGAGTTAGATATGATTAGAGTCAGAAAAGAAGAGAAACTTATAGTTGCTTGGTTACTGTGAGCAGTCACTTGGGTCACTGCAGCTTTTGAAAGAAAGAAATAAGAAAAGAACTAGAGAAATAGGAAAAATGAGACACAATAGCATGCAAGCCTTTGAAATCAAATGACTAGCTTACATTCATGTTTAAGAAATACATTTCCTTGTTGAGCTGGGGCTATGACTCATAAATGAGAAAAATTCATAATGCTCTCTAATTATAATCAAGTAGCCTCCTAAGAGTATCTTATGAAAATCAAAAGCTTCTAAATCTAAAGAACAATAAGCCTTGTATCTCATATGGGAAGTTACACCATATTCCAAAATAGAAAAGCTCATGGGAACAATAAGCTTCTAAATCAAAAGCTTCACTTTTAGAATCAGAGTCAAAATAGTTTCCAAGTTTGTTTTTCCTCAACTCCATCACCATTTCTGAAATATTTTTTTGAAATTTTTGTGGCCAATTTTTCTAATTACCCAATATACTGAATCATAATTGCACCCACGCTTCTGAATTAGGTAGCATTGGTGTGCACTTGTGCATGTATATGTGCAAGCAAAGCAGATGGTTACAAGATGTGTACCACAAAAACATCTTGACTCGCCATTTTGATTAAAGCCTCCCAATTTTCATTCTGACAGTAGCATTAAATTAAAGTCAAGGACTTTACCTTCATTCATTTAACAGTCACAGGGTTATAGGATGTGTAGTTCAGGATTGCCCTGAGTTTTGGCATGGTGAGCATGTATTTCTTGCATTCCTTGTTTATCATTTTCCTTTCTTCCCCTTCCCCCACACCACCACCCCCCCTTCCCCACACCACCCACCCCCCCCCCCCCCCCCCCCCCTCTCTTTTTTCTAGCCCTTTAAATTTTCACCCTTGGTGGATGACAAACAATTAAATGCGCTTTTACTGCATTACCCCCCCCCCCCCCCCCCCCCCCCTTCTCTTTTCTAGCCCTTAAATTTTCACCCTTGGTGGATGACAACAATTAATGGCTTTTACTGCTTAATCGGATAGATTTTTTCTAGATTTTCTATTAATTTACTCTTTCTCATTTTAATTTGCCAATACTACCAAATTTAGTACATTTACTTGTTAGAAATGGAAGTTCAATTCTGCTGAATATTTGGATGTAAACTTCAGAATTATTTTGATCATTCACTGGAGTTGCTTATTGTTTATACAACAAGATATTTAAGGGCATCTAAGTAACCATATGAACATTGATGAAAGAAACTGATCTATGTATATATGAAAGTATTTGTATGTATTTCCCTTTATCCTATTGAATATTAATCAACTTAGACTTGTTCCTTCCAAATATCATATTACGTAACTGTTGTTATCAATTGAATTGAGTAACTTGTTGTGTATTCATCAATGAGAAAGAAAAGTATATATAAACAAGTTATTCCTAAACTATTTAGGAGTAAAAATCCTAGACTACTTAGGAAGAAATCCCTAAGATTATGTAGGAATATTAACTTTCCTTAACACTCCCCCTCAAGTTGGAGCATAAATGTTAATCATGCTCAACTTGTTATAGATATAGTCAACACGAGCACATTCAAAGCTTTTGTGAAAATGTCTCCTAATTGCTCCCCAGTTTTGAATATGACCTGTGGAGAAAGCTTTTCTTGAATTTTATTGTGAACGAAATGACAATCAATCTCAATATGCTTGGTGCGATCATGAAATACTGGATTAGAAGTACAACTTGATTATCACACCATAATTTAGCAGGTAATGAAGACTTTAAGACCAATTTCATTCAACAGTTGATACACCCATACAATCTTACACAGATTGTGCGATGGCTCTATACTCTAATTCTGCACTGGATCGAGAAACCAAATTTTGTTTCTTACTTTTCCATGAAACCACATTTCCTCCAACAAAAACACAATATCCAGTTTTAAATCTTCTATCAACTTTGTATCTTGCCCAGTTTACATCTGAATAACACTCAATATTAGAATGTTCATGATTTGAATATAACAGTCCTAGTCCTTGAGCTCCCTTACATAAGATTTGTTCTAAGATTGGCCAATGATTTACTGTTGGATTAGACATGAACTGACTTACATCACTTGTTGAATATGCAATATCGGGATGAGTCGCTGTAAGATAGGTCAATTTACCAACCAGTCTTCCATACTTCTTAGGAGCTTTAAACAATTCACCATCCTCTTTTATGAGTTGTACATTGGGTGCCATGGGTGTATTTCATGGCTTAGCACCTAATTTTCTTGTTTCTATCAACAAGTCAAGGAAATATTTTCTTTGGTATAAAAGAATATCTTTCTTGCATCTTACTTCCTCAATTACCGGTAAATACTTCAACAGATCCAAATCTTTTGTCTGAAATTGAGAGTGAAGAAAGGACTTTATGCCTGTAGTATGACTACCAATAATAACAATACCATTAACATACACTATTAATAGAATTATGCTATCTTTAGAATTTCTATAGAATACTTAATGATCACACTTACTTTTGTGCATTCCAAATGCTTGAACTGCCTCACTAAATCTACCAAACCAAGCACAGGGACTCTGTTTTAACCTATATAATGATTTGCGAAGGTGATAAACTTTCCCATAGTCCCCCGAGCAACAAACCCAGGTGGTTGCTCAATATAAACTTCTTCATGCAAATCACCATGCAGAAAAGCATTCTTGATGTCAAGTTAATACAAAGGCTAGTTACAAGTTGCTGCGAGAGAGATAAAGATACGAACCGATGCAAACTTTGCCACTGGAGAGAAATTATCTGAATAATCAACACCATAAATCTAAGCATACCCTTTGGCTGCAAGACTAGCTTTGAGACGAGCTACAGAGCCATCATGATTAACCTTTATAACAAATACCTATTTACATCCAATAGAGGTCTTCCCAAAAAGCAAAGTTGCCATTTTCCAAGTACCATTGACATCCAAAGCCGCTATTTCTTCTTCCATAGCAGCTTGCCAGCCAAGATGAAATAATGTTTCATGGATAGTTTAGGAAAGGAAATAGAATCTAAAGACACAATGAAATGTGGTCGTAAGAAACAAAAGAAGAAATAAGATAAGCACACTTATATTTACCTTTTCTAAGAGCAATAGCAAGATCAATGTTAGGATTAGGAGGATCCAAAATGGTAGGAACTGGATCCGATGACAAAGAGTCTGGCAGTGGGCATGAGTCGGGAGCCTCTAACCTGCGAGAATAAACATGAATAATTAGAGGACTAGGTTTAGTAGGTGCAGGTGCAGGTGGATGTCCCGCAGAAAGGGCGGATTAATAGGTTGAGAGACAATATAAACCAGAAGATTATCCTCCCCTCCTTGACTATATCATAAATAGGAGAGGAAGAAAAGAAAGGAGTAGACTCAAAGAAAGTGACATCAACAAATGTAAGATGACGACTAAGAGTTGGAGAAAAGCACTTGTAACCCTTTTGAAGTCTAGAATATCCTACAAAGACACGTTTAAGGGATTTGGGATCAAATTTGGTGATATGAGGACGAACATCACAAACAAAACAAGTACATCCAAAAATATGAGGTTCAATAGGACAAGGATTTAGATGGTAAAAGTACTATAAGGAATATCACCTTGAAGAATGGATGAAGACATACAATTAATTAAAAAACAAGCAGTGGAGATAGCATCACCTCAAAAAATTTTAGGAACTTTCATTTGAAAAGGAAGTGCTTGAGCTACCTCAAAGAGGTGACGGTTTTTTCTTTCAGAAATCCCATTTTGAGGTATCACATGAGGATTGATGCAAAATGCCAATTTGTCATGTAACTTTGAAACATTTCTGAAAATTATTCTTTAGCATTGTTACTGCATAATATTCATACAGAAACATTAAATTGTGTTCTTATTTCAGCACAAAAGATAGAAAATAATTTGGATATTTTGATTGTGTTGGTATCAAGAGTATTCTCCTGGGGGCTGAGTTTCTTCAGTCATCTATTCTCTGTTTCTTGTTTACTGGATATTCTGTCCTTCATTTCAATTAATTGGAAGCCTTCAAGGCCTTATTAATCTCAGATCCTATTTCTTTTATTTTCTCCATTAGAAATCTGTTCTTTACTCTATCAGGCTATAACATTACGAGCAGTAGTTCCTCTTCTGTTTGCAAAATTATAGTTGCTCCCCCTATTTCCTTGTTTTCCACGACTTACAAGAGCATTATAGTAGCAGAATGTGAGGAATGAGAGGTTTCCGTGCAGAGTACTCTGGTGAATGTTTCTTGCAAAGAAGAAATATTAGTACTAGAAAACAACTTAGTGATCTAGCAGTGTCAAACTCTGAGGTAAACCAGCAAGAAAACTCATAATAGCCATTTGTTCATGTTGAGCTTGTTGCACTTTGATATCAGTACTAAAGGGCAACAGAACATTAAGTTCCTCAGTAAGAGGTCTATCTTGCTTTCATGCTTTGCAAACATCATAGATTCTAGAGATATTGCATTTTTCAGAATATAAGAAGTCCAGATAGTCTATGAGTTCTTTAACAAATTGACAATGATTTATTCGACAGATTATCGCTCTAGAACAACTGAGCATCTTCCCTTAACTAGTTCCGTCTCGTATCATCTGTTGGTGGATCATTAGTAAAATGATCATCTTTCGCAATACTTCGCAAATAAATCTGAACAGTTTTGTTCCAGTCTAAATAATTAGAGCCATTAAGTTTATTTTATGTTATCTTAATCATTACTAGAACTACATTAGTAATGGCAGCCTTGGGTTTGGAAGTCCTCATGATTTGTCAAAAAAATATAAGCACCAGAAAATCACCAAAAAATTACCCAAAAAAGAAGTCCACAGTAAAGGAAAATTACTCTAGTCAGCAACTATAAGAAATCTCAATATTAGAATAGGCAATAGAGACGCAGCAACTGAGACACAGAAACGCAACAATGGAATCACAATAACCAAACACCGAAGTTACCACAAGACACACAATACTATATCCGAACTTGAGCAGCCACAGAAAGTCAGCATCCAACCAAGAAGCTTCAGAAATTGCAGAAGCTTAGAAACCAAAGAAATGCAGAACAGGCTGAAGTAGAAAACGTCACCGGACGTTTTCTACTATTTAATAGAAAACCTACCAAACGTCACCGAAACAGAAAACAACTCAGAAGGGTTGTCCTATTTAATAAAGTCGATGCCGGAAAGGAAAAGCAGGTCGTCGGAAAACGTCAAACGCTCCCACATGCGCCGGCGTGTGGATCAGAGCTTTGGAACAGATGTGGTGTGTAAGAGCCTCGCACAGGGAATCCAGTCACTGGAGGAGGCAGGAAAGGCCTTGGAGTGGGTGGTGAGACAAGAATGTGACCCTAGAATGGTCACCAGCACTGACAGTGGTCTCTCTCTTATGGGAAGCCTAGAAATAAAAAAGAAAAAAATAATTGCAGAAAAAATGAAATTTATTAGAACTCAATGAGCCTTGATACCATGTTGTTATTGATTGAATTGAGAACCTTGTTGTGTATTCATCAATGAGAAAGACAAGTATATATATATACAAGTTATTCCTAAACTATTTTATAAATTCTATACTAAGGAAGAAGTCGCTAAGATTATGCTATGTACAAATAGGAATATTAACTTTCCTTAACAACAAAAAATGATACATCTCTTATTCATTCTGTTCATAACTTTAAAGCTTTTTTTTTTTTTTTTTTTTTTTAGTTCCTAGATTATTGCCTATGTACATAATAGGAATATTAACTTGGCTTAAAACAACAAAAAATGATACATCTCTTATCATTTCCTGTTCATAACTGATAGATCGTGTTTTTTTTGTTTTTTTGGTAATATCACGTATCAGCTCGTGGGTTGACCATGAGAATCGATTTTTTTTTTTTTTTTTTTTTTTTGGTAATATCACGTATCAGCTGTGGGGTTGACATGAGAATCGATTAAGTTTCAACTGAATCATCATAAATGAGGTGTATTAGAAATTGTTACTTTGGTTGTGACTCTGCTTAGTGTTCCAAAGGCCAAATGCATAAATTGGCACTTCAACTTCACAAAAAAGTTTTATTGGCACCCTCAACTTTTGTTTTAATTCATTAAACAGTTTAACTTGTAAAATTCCACATATTAAATACTTTAACATGCAAAATCATTTTATTAAACACTTTATTGAATAGTTGAAAATTGTGAAATTTATTATTCTAAGAATAGTACTAACTACACATCAAATCAATACTTTACATTAAAGACAAAAATCCTAATAATTGTTTTTGATAGTATAAAAATGCATGCAATTTTACTAAAATTTATAACTATAGGGGCACAAAGGTTCTCATCAAGGTTTGGGTGCCATTAAATTGAAGTTGTAAAGTTAAGAGACATATTTACGCATTTGGCCGCCTTCCAAATTTATAATTCCTGTATGCTGATATGTTCTTTCTTTGCAAGGCTGAAGCAAGACATGGGGAGATACTTGGTTATCTTCTCTATGCTGCCAAAATAGTGGCTGAAAAAGAAGGCATCCTTGATGGTTTTCGTGTTGTTATAAACAATGGCCCCAGTGCTTGTAAGCATATATCTTTGTTTTACGCAATGTTGTTTTCTGATCCATGCCTGTGCTGATAATCTATGGCTCTCTCTTTTCAGGTCAATCTGTTTATCATCTTCACTTGCATGTCCTGGGCGGCAGACAAATGACATGGCCAGCTGGTTAAAGATTTGAAACAAAAGTATCTTCCTATTTTCTCTTTATAAGCCTTTCATTTTGTATGAACGTTTTTTTGAAAATAAATGTTTATGAAGTACAACTTCACAAGTGGAGGCTGTATTCTTATTTCTGGAATGCATGTTTTAAGAAGCTCTGTGACGAAAAAGAAAATTGTGTTCTATTACCTACTGTAATCTGCAACTATCACCTGGACTAGAGTCTTTCATAAGTTACTATTTCAAGGTTATGTTTATGATATCTGCAATATAATTTCTGCTCTCTAAGTTGCGACAGAGACTAGACATGATAAATTTTCCAACAATTTAGTGTTTTCTCGACTCAAATACCAAACGACAGACGAGAAATTTTTACGGGAGAATTATTGTTTAGTCCCTCGGTCCAGGTTTAATACGTTACTTTCTCTTTGCTTTTTTTTTTTTTTTTTTTACCTACTGTAAATCTTGCACACTATCACCTGCTGATCTAGAGTCTTTCATTAAGTTAACTATCTTCTCCAAGGTTATGCTTACGTATCATATGGATATTTACTGCCAAGTAGCGTATGAATTTCTGGGCTCTCTAAAAGTTGCGACAGAGACACTAGCGACATGCAGTAATATTATTCTGGTTCCTGAACTAATTTAAGTGTTTTCTCGCACTCACAATACTCAAATACGACCAGACGAAATTTTTACGGGCGTGGAAGACCATATATTGTTAGTCCCGACGGCCAAGGTTTTCAATTACGTTACTTTCTGACTTTGCTCTGTTGTTTTCTTTTTCTTTTCCTCGTCAATACATAGTCTAACCTTTGTCGCCCGTTTTGTTGTTAAGCTGTCTGTTTACAGTGGAGGTGAAAGCAGAATTAAAGAGCATCAGTCAGCGGGGAGATGGTAGAGGTGTTGTGTGGATTAATTTGAACTTATATCTGCACCTAGGAGGGTGAGATTACGCTACGGAGAGAAAGAGGGTGGCTTGATTAGGCTGGGGTGGGCGAGGTTGTCAATCCTACTACAAAAATTGAGTTTGCAATTGATTAGCATTTTAATCTGAGAGAGTTGTCAGCGTTAATGTTCAGTTTTGAGGTATGAATTAATCGACATTCTTTGGGTTGAAAATCTAATTATTGATACATTAAGTCGCTATTTCAAAGTGTTAAAAAAAATTATCAATTAAACTACATCAAATTTAGCTTTTTTTTTTTTTTTTTTTTTTCGTCAATACATATCTAACCTTTGCTCCCGTTTAACTGTTTTTACAGTGGGTGAAAGCAGAATTAAAGGAGACAACTTATTTATAAATACTGATAAAGGAGAGAAATATTTTTGCTATCAATCCTACTCTATTGGGATTGAGTATTTGGCCAATTTGATTAGCATTTTTAACTGAAATTTTTGACTTAATCATATTTAGATGAATTAATCGAATTCTTTTGGTTGAATTAATTTTGATCATTAATCGCATCAAAGTTTAAAAAAGATGATCTAATTAACTAATCAAATTTAGCTGAAATTTGTGATTAACCAAGTTTAATTAAAATAAAAATTATTTGAAATTACTAATCACTACCTAATCAAAATAAAAATTAAAATAATTTTCATTTTTAATTTTATTACATCATTGATGTAGTTTTAAAAATTGATTAATTTGATTAATTCAATTTGATTAGCTTTTAATTGAACTTTTAACCGATTATTAAAATTTTAATTTTTTTTAATCGAACTTAACTAATTATTTATTCACTGAATTGAATTGGTCGAATTGGCAGTTCAAATGCTCACCCCTATCATTTGTTGGAAAAAGCTTTTCTAAATTAGATCCATGGGCCCACTTATGGACCAAATAAATGAAATTAAAGAAAATCATAAACTGTCTTTATTTTATGTCAAAATTAACTAATGTATTCCTATATTTTTTAAAATACATTACTTTGCTCCAATATATTGATTCCGTTCAACTATTTCATTTTTTTTGTTAATATTTTCAATTTTTGCTATTAAATGTAAAAGAAAAGACTTAAGTAAACTCGTCTTCCTTTCCCTTTTATTTGTTCTCTCCCTCACCAATAGATTTGTAAACAAAAACAAAAACAAATCTATAAACGAATCAAGATCCAATATCCTTAATTGTTTTCTGCATATTTTCTTTCCTAAACATGTCATATTTTTTCTAATGCTGCTTCCATTTCATGATCCAACAGAATCTGGCAGTGAACATATGCTTGAGCTGCTTCACAAGGTTGACCAACCAAAGGATGATAGCACCATAAAACAATTTGAATCTATTGATGGTGGTCCATTGGTTGAAATGCCATGAGCTGATTCACGTGAAGCATTTGTCTCTCAACTGTATGATCAGTCTTCTTCCTCCTCCCGAAGTTTTCGTTTAAGGTTTGGCCAGCGACGGAGCCACAAATTTTCTTCAGGGGACGAAAAGAAAATATTGAAATTGTCATTTATCAATCATTATGTTAGAATGTATTACAGACAATTTGTCATTTTAACAAAGTTACTAAATGATTTAGACATAAGTCCTTTAGAAAACTATAACATTTAATAAATATAAATTATTCCGTTATTATAATTAAAAGTCAAATCATTGAATTAAACCAACGAAACCTTTTATGTCTCAAATTCTAAATTACTATATAATTGGAATAAAAAACAACAATAAATTAAGACAACTCGAAATTTATAAGATTTAGACTATTCATTTATAATTTTGAACTTACGTTTTATTTATTATGAATTTTAAATAATAAATAAATAAAATTAAGTGATGGCAGTCAATAAATATTCTTAAAATAAAAATAAATTTTAAGTATTAATTTTATTAATGTAATATTTCAAAATCTCGTCTTATTATTTGCATAAACGATTGTGTATATTATTTGATTCAACATAAACTATATATTCTTTTTGTATTGTTTTGTTAAGTTTAATTAATTATTAATTACTATAGTATTTTTAGAATCTAAAATATAATTCTTAAATCATTTTTATAATATTTGATCTAATAAACAAATAAATGATTATTTAATTTTAAATTATAAAATTATCATTTTTTTAGTTTTAACATTGAGTTAAAAGTATATTTTGTAATAACATTTTAGAACATTGAGTGTCAGACCTTTTCGGTTTTTTCTATTTTGATGTCTGAATAGAAAATGTTAGTTTTTCAGTTTTTTCTATTTTGATGTCTGAATAAAATATGTTAGTTATTGAGTGTTTATATTTTGAAAAATTTGCAATTAAGTGTCTCCGGCTGAACTTATATGAATGTTCAATTATGGAACCTTATTTTTTTACACGTGGCAGTTGACGTGGAAAAAAAGAGCTCCACAATTATCATATAAGCCAAATATGATATGGACATGCTGAAAAATATCATTTTTAACCTCCATTTATTATTGGCCAACAATCTATCTATGCAGTGATCAAATTCCCAAGCCGACCCTCAGTAATTAATACCTGGCAATTTCTTGCTTGTTTAAATCATAAATGACAAGCAAATATCAACGGAAGTTAAACTAATGTAAATATGGCTAAAAACAATATATATAACATACAAATCAAAAACCTCACTTTTTATTCTTCATTCAAAGAATCAACGAATTCTTTCAAAAAACTATATATGGGTTTCTTTGTAAAAACCCATCCAAAAATCCACAAGACCAAAATATATCTTACTGTAAAAATTAAATTTTCCATACCTGAAGGTAACATATTGAGGATCTAATACAACACCATCGTGGAGGAGGAAGAGGAGGTGTTGATGGTTGAAAGAGAAACGGAGACGATCTAGAGTTTCTAGAAAGAGAAAGGGAGAAGATTTAGGTTGTTGCTTTAAATGAGGGATAGAATGGGAAAATCATGTAAGAGTACACATGGAGTCCAATGTGTATTGATGATATGGATAAAAAAATACTATCTCGGCGCCAACACATAAAAACTGGAGCCCACAAATGTCTAGTTGCAATTCCGTTAGTCCAGGTCAGACGGAGGCACTCGAGTGTAAATTTTATAAAATTTAAACACTCAATTGATAATGTTTTTCGTTCAGACATTAAAATAGAAAAAAAATTAAAAATCGAGACACTGAATATATAATTATCACAAAATTTTAAAATAATAGAACTTGCTTTCAAAATATTAGACATGTATTTAAAAAAGTGTCTAGAGATTTGATATTGTCTGCTTACATTTATAAATAAATTCTTAATTTATAAATAGTGATCACGTATAATGCTATTAAATATGTCCTAAATAGAAGATAGCATTAAGATTGTGTTCGGCAATAACTTTTTTAAGTAGCTGTGGTCAAAACGCTAAACGTTATTTGGATTAGCTTTTAGATATTAAGCTAACGTTTTATAAAAACGCTAAATGCTATTTTAAGTTTTTAGAGGTTAAAGTAGTGTTTTATAAAAAGTTAACTTATGTAATATTTAGTTTTTAGCGTTTGTTGAAACGCTACTAAAACACGTAACAGTTACCAAAATAACTAATTTTACCGGTGCCATTTGTTGCATTTAAGTTTTACGTTTTTCTTTTTTTTAGTAAACAAGACCTACTTATTCAAAATTGTTTAATTTTTTTCCTTTACTTTTTAGAAAATTATTTTTAAAACGAAAAACAAATTTTATGAAATCAGAAATAGTGGTATATGTAAATGTGTTTTCTGTTTTTAATCTTACCGTTCCTCCTTTTTTTTTTTTCTTTTTTTTTTTTTTTTTTTTTTTTTTTTTTTTTAAAACGGAAAAACAAGATTTATGAAATCAGAAATTCAGTGGTATATGTAAATGTGTTTCTGTTTTTAAATGCTTACCGTTTACCTCCTTTTTTTTTTTGTCTTTTTTTTTTTTTTGGTTTTTTTTTGTTTTCCCTCCTTTAATTGATAGAAGATTATATTATCTATTGAAAATACTCACCATTCTTCATTATCTTTAATTAAAAATCTCCACATTTCTATTTATTTTCTATTTATACCCTCTTTTTTTTTTTTTTTTTTTTTTTTTTTTTTTTTTTTTTTTTGTTTTCTCCTTTTATGATAGAAGATTATATTATTATTGAAAATACACCATTCTCATTATCTTTATTAAAATTCTCCACATTTCTATTTATTTTCTATTTATACTCCTTTTCTATATAAATTTTATATCATTTATTTATTTAAACTACCTGAATACTTTATTTTTATTCAATTAATTGTATATATTAGTAAGGGTTAGTGTAATTTTGAAATTTAAATATAAAAACGCAAATTTTCTTTTAATTATTTTGTTTTCAAACTTTGGATTTTTAGAATATTTATCATTGACTAAAATCTTTAATGGCTGAAAAAGAAAAAAAATTGATGATTGGAAGAATTTTTAACATCATGGCCAAGAGAAAAGAGAACAATTTTAGCAAACAGCTTTTAATAACCAAAAACTAAAAATTATTCTGTTTCTAGCAAATAAAAACTATAAACTACAAAATTGTTTTTTGTTCCTAGTGAAAAATCAAATAAATATAACTCAAAAAACTTCTGTTTTATTTTATTTCTCTAACATGTACAAATGAATTACACCGACATCATCGCTTGAATTTTGTTGATCATATGCTTCATGACATACAAAGTGAACTGAAATCTACAAAAAAAAAAAGCGGGAAAAAACCTTTTAATGAGACTATTTCATCACCTAGGTGAATGGCTAAAATCCACCTACTGAAGGATCAGGAGTACCGTCCATCTCTATAAATACTGCATTATAATGTTTTTGTGCTTCACGACCCCGGAAATTTTTCTCTACATGGAACGTACTAGGTTGTTTTGCTAGTATCATCTTCTTAATCACAGACATGCAGGTATCATAGAGAGGTGATAAACCCAGTTTGATTTGTACACAAACAAGAACAATCAGGAACACTCATGTCCCTGTTGATAAGCCTTTTGTCGCGATTAATCATTAATCTTATAAGAGGTAGCTTCTGCGCAACTTCACGCCATATTTCATTCACAGTTCCGTTTGAGTTGCCATATTCAAAGTATTGCCTCACCTGAATCAGAAAATTCAAAACGCAAAATCTTATAAATTCACAAGTGATACTACCATGCTTCTGTTCAATCAAATATGGATTTCACAAAAAGAAATAAAGGAAAGCTTAAAACCTAATCTACAAATGCAAGGCATGAATTTATTTGCCTTTCATATCTGTGATGGCAATTTGACCTTCCTCCATGTTTGATGTAAACTGAACACATGATCACCACTCAATAACAATAATGATGATATTTTCGCTTGCTACCATATGTATGCTTCACTTCCAAACAATCCACATAATGGGAATTAAAATAATAAAAGAATCCATAATGTGAAATATAAAAGCAAAAACGTGATCGCCTAACAAGACTAGTGAATGCTCTTGAGTACTAGAGTAGCGACAGAAGAACTGAACAAGTTCCCACGAAAATAATATCTTCAAGAACCTTTATGATAAAAAAAAGAAATGAACAGAGGAGAGGCTAGCCATCCCCTCCCTACGAAATGAACTATATAGTCCGTAGATTTTGCTCAAATACAAGACTAAGGATCTTAATTTTTAAAATTACACTATTTAGTTCCTACATTATAATTTTTCATCACACTACAAAGTCCAACTGTTAAATTTTTAGTTAAATGTATGCGGAATGTCAAAAGTATCCCAAAAGATAATTACTAATAAGGACCTCCATTTTTATAATTTTACTCTATCTAGTCCCAATGTAGTAATCATCCTTAAAGAGTGTTTTTGTTATTTCACAATCATTGAAGGGAAAAACTAACCGTTGGATCTCATAGTATAACAGAATTATAATGCAAGGACTAAATAATGTAATTTTGCCAAAGTCCTTACTAGTATATTTGATAAAAACCTAGGACTATGTAGCAATTACCCCTAGAGAACAAGAGCAAAAACAATATCCATATAATTCTAAGCCACACTCTTTACATCACGGTAAAATTTTATGATCAACCCTGAAGTTTGGAACAGATATACCACTACCTGACATGTTTCAGAACCAACAGAAATATAATTCACACAAATTGACTTCAGAAATGGATGGAAAAACAGTGTAAAAGAGAGAACATACTTCCCAACACAAATCACAAATAGCTTTGCAGAAAAGGAGTCGCAAAACCAATCTCAACTACTTATCCTCATTTGTTCAGGAGAAGAACACGAGATTAAGAGGGAAAGAAAGGTAAGTGATGGTAGAAGCCCAGATGTACCTTAACTCACTAAACCTTTCAGCCATGATCATAAATTCATCAGTATTAGCTCTGTCTTCAATTTTATTAAGCCCCAAGCCTTTGCGATTCAAAGACTAAAGGTTGAAGTCATAGTAACAGATTCTCAGCACTAGGGGGAAAAAAGGAAGGCACGTGACCCTACACCTTCTGCAGTATTATTGTATGTCCACTCCCCTGTCTCCAACAAAGTGGACAGTCCCATTGGTAGAGTCCCTACTTATGGATCGAGTTATGGGTTGGTGGGAAGTTGGTGTTTGGGTGTTTAGGCTAGGGGTTTTCCTTGAACGACCTATGGTGGAAGTTCAGAAATCTACAGACTCGTCAAAGGGAGACTGTGACCTTACAAAGAACTTAATTGGGTTTAATCCTCCCTTTATTTCATGAGTTCTGCTGAATATACGACAGAGGGTGGAAGTTCAGAAATTCTACAGACATCGTCAAAAGGGAGACTGATGACGCTTACAAAAGAAAAACTTAATATGGGGTTAATCCTCCCCTCTTATTTCTATGAGGTTCTGCTGAAATATACACAAATTGAGCCAGACTAACTTTTCCTACAATCAAGCAGCCAGCAATCCTAAGTGGACGGATTCACCCCTCCACTACTGCTATGAAAGTAAAGAAAGTGACGGATACTTTACCTCCTACCATAAACAGGAAATAAACAGAAATGCAAAACAGAGATTGAAATGCACCCTAGAACTATTGAGGATCTGATAGCTAAACTTCAACAGCCTCCCAATATGTGGCGGGCTTAGGCCGGGAGACAGCGTGTGTAGACCTTCAGTGAGACTGCTAACATTCCCATGCTTACTGGGGAACCCTCTTACAGGTTAGCTGGGTTGGTATTTAGTTGTAGTTTATGTTAAAAAAAAGTGTTAAAAAAGTCTGAAGATATAAAATTACAAGCGTTTAGCGGTGTGAATTTGGATGGGAAGAGAAGAACTGGTTGGGCTGGAAATATGCAAGTATTTGCGTGATTCAGATATGGTCATGTAAATGGAGGGGAGAAAGAGGATGATTTACATTCAACACTGGAAATTCCTTAGCGCGATCACATCTAGGTTGAGTGCCTATCCACAATCCAAAAAAACCGTTAACTTATTGAAATTTCTTATTTTTGGTGTATGTTCTGAATAACTAAAATACTGTAAGCATTGCAAGAATAGAAGTTAATCCAAACCAAGTATGAGCCCATTAGGACAATAGCCCAGTGGGACTTTTGACTTCTTCAACTTTTTGTTGCCTTATGAAAACACAGAAAAACACAAGGCATTATGAATTGGAACATTATTTGCATAGGACCTCGAAACGACCGCTATTAACCCCCAGAAAAAAGGCACAGGGCTTCTGCTTGGTCAAAAACCTCAAAACTTAACCTTTGGTGAGCGGCGCCTGTTGCTAAGAACCGAAAGGAAAAAAGGATATGCAAAAAGAAAAACGCTAACACAAATTTAAATTCTTTAAGGGGCCCCATTTGCGTCTAACCATTTTTAAAGATGTGGTAAATATTTAAAATGGATTTCAAGATAAAAATCATTTCATAACTTTTTTTATTGACAAGTTAAAATGAGGATTTCAAATTTAAATTCCACATTATTATAACTTTTCCTACAATCAAGGAGCAGAATCCTAAGTGGAGGATCACCCTCCCACTACTGCATGAATAAAGAAAGTGGAGGAACTACCTCCTACATAACAGGAAATAAACAGAAATGCAAAACAGAATTTGAATGACTAGAATTTGAATGACTAATTCAACAGCTCAATATGTGGGGGCTTAGGCCTGCGTGTGTAGACCTTCAGTTGACTGCTAACACCCATGTACTGGGGACCCTCTTACAGTTTGCTGGGTTGGTATTTAGGTTGTAGTTTATGTAAAAAAAGTGTTAAATAGGTCAAAGATATAAAATTACAAGTTTAGGGTTGAATTTGGAGGGGAAGAGAAGGAACTGGTGGCTGAAATATGCAAGTATTTGCTGGATTCAGATATGGTCATGTAAATGGAGGGGAGAAAGAGGATGATTACATTCACACTGGAATTCCTTAGGCGTCACATCTAGGGGTGAGTTGCATCCACAATCCAAAAAACCGTAACTATTGAAATTCTTTTTTTTGACTGAATAACTAAATAGTAAGCATTGCAAGAATAGAAGTAATCCAAACCAAGTATGAGCCCATTAGACAATGCCCAGTGGACTTTTGACTCTTCACTTTTTGTTGCTTATGAACACAGAAAACACAAGCATATTGGAAATTATTTGCATGGACTTCGAAAACGATATAACAGAAAAAGCACAGGCTTCTGCTTGGTCAAAAACCTCAAAACTTAACTTTGGTGAGGCCCTTGTGTAGAACCAAAGGAAAAGGATATGCAAAAAGAAAACTCTACAAATTTCTTTTCTTTAAGGCCCCATTTGGTCTAAACCATTTTAAAATGTGGAATATATTTAAAATGGATTCAAGATAAAATTCATTTTCATAATTTTTTATGACAAGTTTAAAATGAGGATTTCAATTTAATTCCACATTATTAATGTTTAATATAAATTTAGAATTTCAATCCACTGTGATAATTGTCTAGAATACCCTTAAAAAATACAGATAATCGAAAGTGAGAGAGATAGAGAAGAGAGGAAAAAAAGAGAAAACGCGAGAAGAAAAGGAGGGGAGTGAAGAGAGAGAAAAAGAGGAGAGAGAAAATGCGAAGATGGACATTCTCATCCAAAATTTTAATAGTGTAAGTTTTGTGTAATTCATTTGAAATTCCATCAATTTTTATGGAATTTGGTTAGTAGAGTTCAATTCAACAAAATTGAATTTGCATTGAAATGAAAAATTTTTTAACACAGCATACACTCAAAATTGGTAATTCAGTTGAATTCTACAAATTTTATGGAATTCATACATCAAACAGGGTAAGTTACAGTTGAACAATTAAAACCCAAACTGAAATAAATGACTTGCATCCACTCTTCTATTTTATTCTTTATTTCATAACAGAAGTCCTTCATTAAGATACAAGGCATGTTTCCAAAAGTAAGCCAGAATATGGAAATTCATAAATCTCCTCAACAAAGGATTACTGTATTTCCTCCAGGGAACTTCATCAAATAGCCTATCATAAATATGAAATGGAATAAAAAAAAAAGATCGTTTTTGTTAGGCATTGAACCTTTCTGCTCCATGGGGTGCTAAGCGGTGCTAAGTACCCTGAAGCCTTGTTTAGTAAAAGTGAATTCCACAAAATTTTGTGGAATGCATTTGAAATTTAGTGTTTTCATGTTTAGTAAGAATGAAAGTGTTCATTTCACTAATATGATTTCAATTCTATAAAATTCGACATAACTAAACCAAGTCCTACTATTTATAAAGGGATAATTGCAATTTAAGTGTATGAACTTTCCGCAATTTTCTATTTTGATGTATGAACGGAAAAAGTTTACAATTTAGTGAATAAACTTTTAATTTTTTAACAATTGAGTGAAATTTGTATACATGGACAGCTGGAAATCCTTGTGGGACAACTGGGTCCGACTTTTCATTTCTTAATTGCTGATTATGCGCCAAATGAGATGCCACGTAAAACTCCTCTCTTCTTCTTCTTTTTCTCTCTTTGACGCCATGTTCTCCATAAATATAAACACCAATGTGCCTTTATCTCTTTCCAATTCAAAAAATAAGCCATTTTCTTTTCCAATTCAAAAAATAAGCCATTTTCTTAGTCTCAGTCCTCCTCTCTTTATTTTCTACTCATCCTCACCCAAAACCCATCTAAAATCCCATATCCGCCACTCTAATCCCTTCCCCTCCACCATCTCCATCAAATCAACAACTATACCAACCCTTTAGACCTCCTCCTCATCTCCCACCAAAGTATCAATCCCTTGACACTGTCAGCCGCCTCGAAATCCTCGCCAATTGGCTTGGTCTCTGGTATGTCTCTCCACTAGCAATTGAGGAATCTACCAGCATTCCTGGTGTTGAAAAAAATCGTTTAATTGTTATAGCCCAGGTTTGCGAATCTTTAATTCAGTCTAAAAAAGACCCATAAATTGTTACCAGATTTGATACAAGTGGTGTAGAATTACTGTATGAAATGCGGCCCTTAAGCATTACAATAGCCGGTCATGGGTTTAGGGAAAGGAAGAATGGTGGTGGCTTTTCCAGATGCAAAAGTCTTACTGTGGAAAGTGAATAGATCGTATAAAGAAGAGGTTATTTTGGTGGTGGCTGATAGCGGAAGGAAGGAGGTGACTTTAGATGAAGGGTTTTACCTGGTTGTTGTTGATGGCAGTGGTGATGGTGGATTAAAGGTGGAGAGGGGTTCTGCGTTGAAGGCGGTGTGGAGGTGAGTTTAGGGATTGTGGTGGTGAAGAAGAGAGGAGTTCTACATGGTATCTATGTGGCATCCCATTTGGCGTACAATCAGCAATTAAAAAATGAAAAAGTGGGATCCAGTTGTCCTACAAAGATTTCCTGCTCTCCACGTGTATAAATTTCACTCCATTGTTAAAAAATTAAAAGTTTATTCACTAAATTGTAAACTTTTTCTGTTCATACGTCAAAATAGAAAATTTCAAAAAGTTCATACATCAAAATTGCAATTATACCATTTATAAACGAATTCATCATGTCAAACTCATTTATTCCAAGCAAAGAATAGAAGGTCTTTAGTTAAAAAGTTTACGTAAAAATATACTTTCTGCAACAACAAAATGCTACAATAGAAAGGTTTTAAAGGAAAGTGAAAAGCAGAAAAGACATTAGCAGCAGTAGGTATGATATTGGTACTAACCTCTCTCAGCTCTTTCTGATATTCCAGAATCCTCTCTGTGGTTACATCTCTTAGCATTTTAACTAAATATCCTGGCCTTAGAGAAGCTGCTGTACCCACAAAGACTGCAATCTTTGTATAGTCTATGACATCTTCAAAAGGTAATTCAATGCTATCACTGACTATTACAGGAATGCACAAGCTAACAATAGCATCAAAAAGTCGACAAGCTGATGGAGTATCACCAGCAGGATTCAAACAGAACTTTGAAGTATGCATGCCACGTGTAGCTGCACGTCTATTCTCCCTAGATTGCGTTCCATGTTTTATTATGACATCATCTTCCTTTTCAAGCATTTGGAAAAGTAAATCACGAATTTTACCTCCCTAAAAGAAATAATCATTTAAAGAGAAGATCATATCAGTAAGACAACATATCCTAAACCATGATACCAGTCAAGATTATGTTTTTAGTTCAACTACACATATGTAGCAATCTCTATCATAGAAAAGTTCAGATATGCAATAAAAACTAACATTAACATTTTTAAAAAAAAAAAAATCACCAATGCATGTGTATATTCTTCAAAAGTGAAAATCAATAGAATTTCTTTTCATGAATTTATAAGCTCATAATTAGGGACAATATGAACACTTCAGCAAACAACCATATTGAAGGCAGCATCTACAGGTAAAATTCAAGTTGACTAGTAAAATCAACAGCAAAATGACTAGTAAGAATTCAATGAATCATAGGGTTTTACTGATTCACATAATCAAATTAAGATCAATAACTTATATAATCCAAACAACAATGTCAAAACTAAAATAAATAAAAAAAAAGATCTTCAACACTAATCTAACAATATAAAAAGCATACAATCCGAGAAGGAGAAAAAAAATATTAAAAAACAACTAAAAAGGAAAAAGAAAACTAACTTACGTCCTTACGATATCGGTTTCCCATGAAAAAAAGCAGAGTATTCCGATCCTTCGCCCCAATATCTCCATTATAAGTGTTGATTCTATGAGAGTAAGGTACGATTACATCTTTCACCAGCGACCCTTGCTCGGGTCTAACCCGACCGAAATCTGACAGTAACAAAACCGCATTCTTGACCCGGTCTATTACCCGGTAAAGCGCATTGGGATCCCCAGCAAAGATCACGTGGTCTCTCCCGTTATTTCTTTTCCAGTACTCCTGCTTCTGCAGCCACTCCACCAAATTCACCTGAATCTCCTCGTCACTATACTGGTGAACCGACCCGGGCTCAGCTCCAGGTGGTCGAATCGGATTCACTATCAGACTCAGAGACGAAAATACAGGAACGTAAAACAAGTCAGCTTCTTCCGGATCATCGACTTTGATTACAGGTGACCCGACCCTCTCTTCTTCGGGTCGGTTGAGATCCGAGAACAAGTACCATTCACCCATATGCTGGTGGCCAGGATACTTGACATTTGACGTATCTTTGGAGCCACGCGCAACCGCGTGTTGCTCAATTATGCCTGTGGTAAACTTTTTCGGTAGATCATACATGAAAATCTTCACTTTCTTGGAATCATTTTCAATCACTTTCCCAGAAAACCCAAAAAATTTGTCTCCAGAAAGATGATCAGCGAATGAGGAAGGAGAAGTAGTGGGATTGAAGAAGGTGTTGAAGAGAGCATAGATAGCGAGGATGAAGAAAGCAGAAAGAATTAGTGTTTGTTTCAGGAGAGAAGATTTTCGCGCCATTGAAGATTGAGCCTGCTTTTTGGGAGATTTAGGGTTTCTGATTTTGGTGGTGGATCGGTCACTCATCGTTGCGGTTGATGTTGGCGAGAAATGCGCGCACGGCTACAACGTGCTCAGGGGTAGTATAGGGTGCCGTGGCTTAATACAGATTCAGAACATGTATTAAGGTGTGGATAAGAAAATTATTGATGGCCTTGAAAGACAAGGAGGTTGAATAAATAATAGGCAAATGCACGAATTGACATATGTACTTTTTACGAATAAAATTTTTTCCTAGCATTTTAAATTTTGCGCGTCACTTATTGTACTTCTAAAATTGTGAATTTTAATAATAGTATTTTCTTTTTTATATTGACAATAATAATTTTGGGATATTTTTAATATTTATGTACAAAATATTCACTTGATACGTGATTAGTCACTTGATATATGATTAGTATGATTTTTTACTAGAAAAAAACTTTTGAGGTCCCTAGGATTTCGTTAATTAACTACTTTGTCTTTGCATTTTTAAGAATTAATTTGATATGTGATTAGTATGATTTTTTAACATGAAAAACTCTTGAGGTCCCTAAGATTTGGTTAATTAAATACTTCGTCTCTACATTTTTAAGAATTAATTTATTTATCTCTAAATTTTTACTCAGTTAAACAATATGGTTCATTTGTCCAAAAAGTGATTATTTATTGTTATGTCAATATGGAAATGTTGTGACATCCCGACCCAGCAAAACGATTCTAAAAGGGCGGGTAGAGCAAAACTCCTGGCTAGCTTCTAAGATACAGGCTAGCTATGGGTAATGGAATGCTGGACACAGAAATGAATCGAATCATTTATTTAAAATGGAGAAACTAGTCATCAAAGGTGTCTTTTGGTGGAATGACTTAAAGAGTTAGAAGAACTTCATGATTAAACGTGTTCACTTAACAGAAATCTTAGGATAGGTGACCGCTTGAGAAATTCTCTATTTCATATGTGAGACAAAACTGTACGGGTCTTACCAATCCAGTATGGGATGAAATAACTTGATCCAAAGTGATTTCCTCTTGTGGTTGGAGTCGGACGTGACAAATGCAAATCCCAAGTGAGAGAAATATTATTAATGAGAAAGATAACCCTATTATCTAAGAAATTTTGGTGGAAATAACTGATCCACCCACACCCATACCCCCACTTCTGCCACCACTTCCATAGCCATCGCTCTCTCCACTGCTAAAACCACCACCTTAACCAAAGCCATCGCATCCAACTATCTCATTGCCACCATCACCATCTCCTTTTCCATAATCTTCTCTAGGATTAGTCCAATTGCCCCTACCACCACTATTAACCCAGCAGTAAGCTCAAGCCCTATTAGCTCAAATTGGACAGAGAATAACTAGGCCACAAATTGGAGCTTAATTCTCCCGTTTAAAAATCAAATTGAATCCACTACGTTCTGCTGCTAATAAACAAACGAAAACCTTTTCATAAGATCATGCGTGAACTCAAACGCCACTGGTGGACTAAAGGACTCAACTGTAGTGCTATGGTTGGGACTCTGGTTATCAGTATAGTTAATGATTCTTATTATTTTTTGCTAGGGTTATGGGGCAGTGTTCAGTGGTGGTCTTGGTTATGCACTGCCGTGTCATAGGCTCTAGTTACATCTTCAATCGTGTCAAAAGTGCCTGACCAGACTCAATTCTTCTTTCTAGGATCCCGTATCTCAATAGTGTAGCAACTCTATTGCCTTTTTCTCAAGAAGTTTATTTTATAACTGTGGACATTGTAATTTATGTAAAGTTATCATTCTTTCAAGAAATTAGCTTAATTGTTGTTAGTGAATATGATTTATATTTATTAACAAAATTCAAATTACAAATAATCAAACTTAAAGGTATTAATAATGTTTTTATAATCAAATATATTTTAATTATTTTGTTGCTTTAAAAGTCAAAATTTTTTATTGCCTATAATGTCGTAACTTTTCTTGAGATTAGTGGCAACGTCGCTCTTTTCATTGGCAACCAAATCTATTGTCTTATGAGCTTCATTTTCATTGATAGAGAGTTAGAGAGGAGCAAAATTTTTCAAGTGATGACGAAGAGCTAGCTTTAATATATATAAGGGCCTTTTGGTCTTTACCTGTTATAACAACATAAGGCTTCATTTTTTGGACAGGAGAAGTTTATTGTTGGACGAAGCTAAAATTTAGGGATGAGTAAATTAGCTTTTACAAATGCAAGGACAAAATAGTTAATTAGGCTAAACTCAGGGACCTCAAAATATTTTTTTCTTTTTAAACAATAAGTTTCACATTTTTTTTCAACTATTTTAATTAGTTTTTAATCGATCTAATTTTATAAGTTCGAATGTTCAATAGAATAGTTTTGCAAATTGAAATATTTAATATGTATAATTTTATAAATCGAAGTGTTCATGTCACGACCCGTTTTCATGGACCGAACCAGTACTAGGATCTAAATAAGCTTAAGGTCATCGAGGCCCGTAGTAAGCCTAAACTACAAAACCCATACACGCCATACAAAAATCTTAGGAGCAGTAAGCCCATATAAATTTGTGTATATCTAACAATCATACAATCCTGGCCCTATCTCAAATATCTCGAGTAAAACTTAGTCCGAGCCTAATAATACATCTCATTGGTAATATGGGCTACTGGTTCATATATATTTAAATAAACAATAAGAACATTCATAAGTTAGTACACCTGTTTCAAAGACCAAATTAAAGATACGCAAATCCTACAACTGCGGAGTTCAACAATAGTTGGAAGTAATCGAGTTATACATATAACAATGCACAAATTAGGAATTTACTTTTATAGCTCTGCGGAGAAGATTGCAGAGCTTTAGTCGGTTGACGGGCTTCTACTCCCTGACAAGTTAAGTAAAAGAAGAGCGAGTTTTATAACTCAATGAATAATAATAAATAATGCATATCACAGACATTCACGCGAAATGCACCCTAAGATACTAAAGTGAGCACACAACCAGTCAATCATATGGCACCAGCACTCACAAGTAATTTCACCTTCAAATAATCAAGCAAGTGAAAATTAGTCAGTGGCGCCACCGAAAACCCCCGACAAGCCATCCTCTCACATGGCCTGCCCTCTCAAACGTATGCACCAGGGAGCCGATCCTTATATCTGGCCGACCAGTCTAATCCTCACATGACCAGCCCTCTCCTATATTCACTTTTTATATACTCTCTTTTCCGTTTCATATCAACAGGCGGCCACCTCATGGTTTTTCCATATCATATTACATTAGGTGCACACGGGGTGCCGATCTTCCCATACCTGGCTGACGGTATTGCAGACCATCCTCACAAACCCGTAGTGGCCCACTTCATCCCAATTCCAAACAAAGCATTGCAAATTCACGGCACAAGTGATTAAGCAATTCATTTAACGTAATGCACCAAATCAATCTTAATGCACAAATGTAAAAGTATAATTATATATTAGTAGTAACGTAATATATTTATGAGATACGTATAATGATATACTAATAATAACAATGAATATTAGAGTTTCAAATATATATATATATATATATATAAAATAGATGTTATGTAGATGCAATAATGCATTACTTATTAGTACTCACAGTGGTAGAGGAAAGAAGAAGCTTTAGTACTCACAGGTAAGGAATAAATAAGCTCTAAGCTCGGGATTTTGACCTAGAAAGAGGAGATAGAGCGGTCCGAAGCGATCTAAAAGAATTTCAGAATACTAAAGAAAGAAATGCATCAGACATAAGGATTAAAATTTAAGATGAGTACAAAGAAAGAAATGCATCAGACAAAGGATTAAATTTAAATGGAGAATTAAAGTATTAATCTAATAAATTATTTACTAATTTAACTTGCTATAAATAGACTAGATTCTGCCAAAATTTCGACAGTATCCCCCCTAAAAATTGAACTAGAAGAAGCTCTAACTCGGATTTTGACCAGAAAGAGAGATAGACGGGTCCGAGCGATCTAAAGAATTTCAGAATACAAAGAAAGAAATGCATCAGACAAAGGATTAAATTTAAATGGAGAATTAAAGTATTAATCTAATAAATTATTTACTAATTTAACTTGCTATAAATAGACTAGATTCTGCCAAAATTTCGACAGTATCCCCCTAAAAATTGAACTATCCACCTGTTCAAACAATCACAACTTTATACATAAATATCAATTATCACATCCAGCCCATTCATCGGGCGATCAAGCAATTTAATTCTCCTTTCCTCCATCCGAATAACAATATCAATATTATACTCAACCCTCAACACCACCACACATCCATAATTTATAAATTAAAACAACATTCAATCTAGTCTACCTTAAATCCACATTTTCATTCCATTAATATGATTATCAAATTTTCCCAATTAAATTTATTTGGTGCTAAATTAAATTAGCCTTAATTAATTAAAGTCCTCTAATTAAATCAACACATTATATTACATTGGTGAATACTCAAAATTAAATTAAATTAATTAGCCATAAAATGCTAGGAATTAATTAAATTTCTGGAAAATAACCAGAGTTTAATCTCAATACCCAAAACTCAATGTTGCTGGAAATTACTTGGCCGGAGTTTATGGCGACAATGGCTGTGTTCGCCGGAATGATAGGAGCGAAGACAGTTGCTGAGGTTGACCGAAACAAGAGTCGCTGCTCGCCTGAGAGGCTGTGCTCACCGGAGTCGCGAGCGGGAGGCATGACATCAAGCGGCGGCTGGTGGTGCGATGGGGCTGAGGGAGAAAGAAGATGGCTGGCGGCGCGACAACAGGAGGCAATGGTGGCGGCGCGAAGGCGTGGGTGGCGCAGGCGAGGGCTCAATGAGCCCGTTTCTGGTGGCCAGAGTCACGACTGCTTCGGTTTGGGTAAGGTTGCGGCTCCACCGCGGCCCTTGCACTCACCAGAATGGAAACAAGGAGAGAGAGAGAGCCAGAGCGGCGCTGGGAGAGGGAGGCGACGGCAGCGCGAAGGAGAGGCGGCACAGGCGAGTCGCCGGTGACCAGAAAACAAAAAAAATGAGAGGGAGCAAGGGAGACAGCAGATTAACGCTGAAAATAGAGGGAGAGGGGTTTCTAGAAGGTTTTTGGATGATTGGGGCCGATTTGGTTCGATCCGAGTTTGGTTTGGTTCAAATCGCGATTTTTGAGTGGTTTTCAATTTCAAATGGATTTTTATT